CTCTCACTCCCTTTCCGTCTCTCTCTCTCTCCCTTTCTCTCTTTCCTTTCTTCTTTCTCCCTCTCTGTCTATCCCTCCCTCGTCGAAGGACACTCGCGACGTCCCGATCAGCACGCAGGATCCGGGACGAGTGATCGTCGCGCGAGAACTCGCTGTATCGCTTCCGCACCTCTCAGCAAACGTCGGCCTGATCGGTCAGGAGTCGAATGTGCCTCGGGTCCGGCCCGATTACGTGACAGGATCCCGCGAACATCCGACCAGCGGAGAGACCGCCCCGCGTTCTGCGCCCTGGTGGTACGCAATTACTTTTACTGGCTCTCCACGGTTCACAATCGTGCTCCCCCACTGGGATTATCGTACAATATTATCGTGGCACACCGTTCCGATCACGTCGATTCACCGACCGCACTATCCAACGATTATCCATCCGGAGAGCAACGAGCGACCGTCTCCCTTCTGTTTCCCGCGACGCCGTGGGACAGTGGCAATCGTATCGGCGAGGATGGGTGTGAACCTGTGCGTGTTAACCGACGGCGGCTGCAGCCCTGACATCGCTCGTCGCCCGCTGATCTTCAACCCTCACCGCGAAGCGGCGACAGCGGCGGCCGCGATGCGGCGCACCCGTCGATCTCCCTCCGCGCGCGCCCACTCGCGCGCCGCCAACCCCTCCATCGCCCGACAGCTTTCAATTCGGCCCTACGGCTCTCGCTTTCGCCTCCTCGGACGACGACAACGGTTTGTTACCGTTGTAAATTAAGAATCGAGGGATATTTCCCGGGGCGTCGTCGAAGTCGGCCTCTGCCCCCCAGCGACGCCGATCGGCGACGACTGATAAAACAACCGCGTCGTTTTCCCTCGTCCGCCGCGGACGAAACGAAACGTGCCGCCCGTTCGCGCCGAGCGCGCGGCTTCTCAATGGCCCGTTTTATCGATCTATACCCCGTAATAACGTATTATAAATAAATACGGTTTTTTTAACCTTGTTTTGAACGATTACGCTCGCGACGGTGTCTATATTTACGGCGAACGCGTCGGTATTAATAATCGCAGTAGCGATACGGCCCTTAGCCCAGGCGAACACCCGACGCGTTCACGCCGAAAGGGCCATGTTATTTCAGGGTGAATCTCACGAAAATTCGCCGACCCGCGGTATAAGTTCTCTAAAGGTGTCTCGAGGTAACGTGAACGAGGAAAGATAAAGGACTTCTTGGAACGAACCGGGCGTGGAGATGTTGCGGGAGAGATTCTCGAAATGGATATTCTGTAACAAAGAGGATAGTGTCTTTTAATGTCTTCTGGCAATGATAAAAAAGAAAGGAATTGACATTCATCGTATGACGTTAACGTATAATTCTATTACAATCATTGTTACGATTGTAGAATACTATAACCTTGTCACCCCTTCTGGAAATCAAATACGTTTCTTTACTAGATCCTGGGTTCGTGTAACCACCGTACCGTACGGGGGTTCCCGTATTACTCACGGTACACATCCATCCATTGGAATCGTTCCAAGGCAAATACACAATAGCTCCGGGGTCCTTGGCCTTGATCGGTACAGGAGCACGGTACTACCAAAATAATTATCGTCATTTAATGTTCGTATTCCCCTATATACGACGGGGAAGGATTAAAAAATTTGATATGTAATTTTCGTGTCCCAATTAATAGCTTCATCGCCGCGATGAGCGAGCGTAACGGCGGCTGGTGCTGTTCAACCTACCCTTATTAGGTCGCGAACTCCGGCGATAGTAGTCGAGCTTCATACCTTGAAAAGGAAAATAAAGGAATATTCATTAAAAGGACAGAGTCGCATGAACCTGTTGTGCACGAATTGACAAAAGTAAGCTTGGATAATAGGTGACTTTGAACAGTATACCCGAAAAGGAAGCATCGTGACATTAAAATTGAGAAGGTAGAAGAAGAATGAAGGGACACAGGCTGGCGCGTAGTGGTGGTGGTGGTGATGGTGGTGGTGGTGGTGATGATGATAGTGGTGGTGGTGCACGTTCTGACATTCGTCGGATGCACTCTGTGTGTAAATACATGTTCGCGCACGTGCGCCGTAAAAGCAGAACGAGCAATCGCTGCGACAAAGAGGGAGGAAGAAACTGGCAGAGCGCGTGATCAATATAGGGTATGGGGGATGATGCTCTAGCTCTGCAATTGCCTGCTTAGTTCTCCGTACGCCATTCCCTTCCAGCTTCCAACTTACACGAATAATACCTCGAGAATGCCAGTCTCAAGAATGTCACTGGTCAATACGCCATTCTATTGTAAAGAAAACCAGCACGATACCTTAGTAACATCATTATGCTCGATTTAGCAACGAGTACTCTTCGCTTATAGAACGTAACATCATTTTAACCTCGCACATTCGAATTAGTTTGCTCTCCTTTTTCACTTTCATTAAGAACCGCTCGACGACTACCAGTCGAGTAGTAATTTCCAACAGCATTTCCTTCCTGTGCAGCATGCCAGTGGATGCTCGAAGCGCATTTGTGCAACGGACTGCACGTTGCAATCAATTACGGTCAAGATGGCGCTATCATATGGTCATAGGAGCTGAAGTAGTGCTGCCGTTGCTTTATTTGACTATGAATGTCGACTTTGATCTCGGCTGGAATAACAAAGGAGTATACGTCGTCGAGTCCATGAAAATATGGTGAGCAAGAACATCCAGCGATCGATGCTGCATCTGCGAACAGAGCGATAACATTGTTATGTTTACGGTACGCAACAGCTGATAGAACGGTTTCCCTGATAACGTTCTGACTCACTATTTTTGACATGCGATTTTAACCGATACAGACGTCAATCCGTCATGCACAAATGTACGTAGCAGTATTGTTCGTTACTCGACGGGGCAGAGTGATACACTGAGATTATCTAAACCTTGATGTGTGGATCATCGGAATTTTTGGAAATTCATGCGTTTTATTAATTTTATCACTAATTACCCGCACCACCGGAATTCATAAAAATGCATTCGACAATGGGTGCACTTATATTCGGATTAGTAATTTTGCTGTCTGTTCCCGCGTCGTTTTGTAATGTCATTTACTATCAACCTGAAAGTGTGCATCTAGCCTATGGTGGTAAGGATAACATTTTTAAAACCAAGTATTCATTATTGTAATATAAATTATGCTATTGTCATTTGTAATAAGAATAAAGTAATTATAATTTTCTGAAATTTTTAGATAATATTCATGACATTGTTGTTACGTGGAGCACAAGAAATGATACAGAAGAATCTATAGTAGAATATGGAATAGGAGGGTTCATCCTGAGTGCTAGTGGAAATTCCACCCAATTTACTGATGGTGGGGAAGAACAGCAAAAGCAATATATCCATAGAGTATGGCTAAAGAATTTAACACCCAACAGTATATATAGTAAGACAATTTTTCTTACCTTCGTATTTTTTTATCAGAATTATGTACATAATTAAAATTTTTTGTAACAGTGTACCACTGTGGTAGCAAATATGGATGGTCAAATGCTTTCTATATGAGAACTGCTCCAGAAGAATTTGTGAACTGGTCGCCGCAAATTGTTATTTTTGGTGATATGGGTAATGAAAATGCTCAAAGTTTATCAAGATTACAAGAAGAAGCGCAACGTGGATTGTACGATGCAGCCATTCATGTTGGAGATTTTGCATATGACATGAACACTGACAATGCACGTGTTGGCGATGAATTCATGAAACAAATAGAAGGAGTTGCTGCTTATTTACCATATATGACAGTACCTGGAAACCATGAAGAAAGATATAATTTTAGTAATTACAGGTCAGTTTACATTTCAAATATAATATTACTAACTACATCATTCATATTTAGTTGTTGCTAATATAAATTTCCCAGGGCTCGTTTTACAATGCCTGGAGATGCTGAAGGCTTATGGTATAGCTTTAATGTGGGACCTGTCCACTTTATTGGTATAGAAACAGAAGCTTATTACTTTATGAACTATGGTATAAAACAGCTCGTTAAACAGTATCAGTGGCTAGAGAAGGATTTAGAAGAAGCTAACAAACCTAAGAACAGGTAAAGTAGAATTTTCTCTTATTGCCAATAAACTGGAAATTAATGAAAATAATCTTTAGAGCACAGCGACCATGGATAGTAACATTTGGTCACAGACCAATGTACTGCAGTAATAAGAATGCAGATGATTGTACAAATCATCAAAGTCTCGTCAGAGTTGGATTGCCACTATTTAATTGGTTTGGGCTTGAGGATCTCTTTTTTAAACATAAAGTAGACTTACTACTATGGGCTCATGAACATAGTTATGAACGTATGTGGCCCATGTATAATTTCAAGGTAATTTCATTATCTTGTAAACTCAAGGTCTTGAGTATTCTTTCAATAGATTTAATCAATAGTAAAAAGAAACTAATCGTAGGTACAAAATGGTAGTTACGAAGAACCGTACAAGAATTACAAGGCACCTGTACACATAGTAACTGGATCGGCCGGATGCAAAGAAGGTAGAGAAAAGTTCGTCCCGCATAAACCAGAATGGTCTGCATATCGTAGTTCAGATTATGGTTACACAAGGATGAAGGCATATAATCGGACTCATCTATATCTTGAACAGGTACTGGATAATTCGGAATAATAGGCACAAGGAATGTTCGTTATTATTCATTTTACAATGTTCCAATAATAGGTATCTGACGACAAGGATGGTGCCATATTGGATCAAGTTTGGATCATAAAGGACGATATTTTCCCGGCGTACAATATAGATTACCTTGCAAACAAACTATAGAGCATATTTTAGGAAAAAGTAATTGAAATAATACATGAACATATCGTTTTAGTTATCATTTTTTCTCGTTTGACAATGTACCATGCTGTTTTATGGTAAATAGCAAAAGTCTATAGCTATAAACTTCGAACAATCGACTTTAATTCTATCTTTAAAAATTCTCCCTGTTCCCTCTCGCATTGAAACGAATAAACTACAAATATTTTGCTAATTACAAATGAGATGGAAATTAATAATGCGTACGTACAATATAATCATTTAATTGTTAAAATATAAATATATGTATATATATAATCATTGTAGCATATAATATTAATAATATAATATTAGGGTAGCATTTTATATTTCCATCTGATTCTCACAGTAAATTATTAATTATCAATGATACATAATGAAAGCGCGGACCGCAGTAAGGAAAACAAAAATTTCCTAATTCAGTAGTACTATTCATATCAAAGAAACGCTTCCCTTCGGTGCTAAAAAACTTGATTTCAGATTTACACGGTAGTTCAATTAAAGCTGTAAATGTTTCTATGCTCCTACTTTTAAAATGGATAAACCACTTGCCCTGTGGCTGGCTCCTTTGCCAAGTGTAATTTGCTATTTTGGCTTCTGCTATAACAGTTGACTAATGAATTTAAAAAAATAACCAGGAACTGCCCTTCCATAAATTATTACAATAAACTTGACGATGAAGCTAGAAAGTGTTAAATATCACTTTCATTGAACAAAGGACTGTAACTATGATTATCAAATATCGTTCTTCCACATGGAAGAAACGTGCCACTCTTTACAATGTAATACAGCATAGGGGACGAACTTAAGTTACTGTTCGTTTTCATTTTCAAGACAAAAATCTATCCCCATTGTGTCATCGTGAACCTACTCAGCCGGTATAAATAGTATTAGCTCAATCGAATTGTATAGTACACACTTTTTTCATGTACAATTTCAACGGGTATACGTGTAAGTTGCACACATGCCGCGCACACACATACACACACAAATTTGATCTGCCATTGAAGATATGTGTTAAAATTTCTCAAAGATGCACAAAAAAAGCATCATAAATTAGCAAAAGGGATATTCCAATCAATCAGCTTTAAAACAAATGTTTCCAAATTGACCGACAATACTCAATATAGTCGAATGTCTTTGTTTAACTTTTTCATGCGTTTAGCCACATATCTCAGTATATAAACAATGGAAACCCTTGATACTGTCAGTGATTAATAGAAACAATGGAAGAGGTTGCTGCTGAATGACTTTCTTGGTACGAAAACTGAGGAAAATGTTCTTGTTCTTCGGCTATTGAATTCAAACCACCGCCACTCCCTAAAAAGCTTTGATCGGGAGGTGTAAGCTCGACACTTTCACCTGTAAACTCGCTATCAAAATATCGCGTATCTGTTTCAGAAGTTACTTGTGGTTTAAAGGGAGGGGGAATCTTTTTCTGCACAAGGTCCGCCCAATCAATTGACGAAAAGAATGCGTGATCCATAATCTCTTTTGCATCGTTAGGTCCACCACCCAATCTCTTGCTTGGATCTTTTATTAGTAATCCTACAATAAATTAATTGGACAATAAATATTTTTACTTCATTTAATAAGAATTAACCGTGCCATGAATTATTTATTTACCTCCCAGCATATCTTTTGCCTCAATACTGATCGTCCTAGGAAATCTTACTTCTCCCATTACAATAAGCGAGAAAAGTTTATCATGGTCCTTGTTATAAAAAGGTAATCGACCACAAATCATTTCGTACATAACAACGCCAACTCCCCACCAGTCTACTGCTCGGCCATAGTCATTGTCTTCGAGCACTTCTGGTGCCAGATACTCGGGAGTTCCGCAAAATGTTTTCGTCGTTCTTCCTACATGATCATTTTTCAATATTTTCAAATTCAATGATACGTTGCTAATTTTACTCGTGAAAACTTACCGTATGTTATGTCTTCCTTACATAATCCAAAGTCAGCGATTTTAATGTGTCCTTCTTTATCTAAAAGAAGATTTTCCAATTTGAGATCACGGTAAATAATACCCTGTGAATGAAGATAGCCCAAAGCTGAAATGATTTCAGCCCCATAGAATCGGGTACGATCCTCGCCGAATCTGCGGACACGTCTTAAATGAAAGAATAACTCCCCGCCGTTCACGTACTCCATTACAAAGCACAGCCTGTCCGCTGTTTGAAAACTGTATTTTAAAGACTGCAAAACGACCAACATTGAACATTAATTACAATTATAAACATTTAAGTATAATATGGAGAAGTATCTATAAAACATACAATTAGGAACGGATGATTAGTAGTACGCAATACTCTATTCTCTGTAAGTGCGTGGGCAACCTCGTGTTTACGAATGATCACTTCCTTTCGTAAAATTTTTATAGCGTACAAGTGGCCTGTTGCCTTTTCTCTGCAAAGGATTACTTTTCCAAACGTACCCTTTCCCAGAACTTTCAAGAATTCAAAATTTTCAAGGGTCTGCAAAGCAATTGTTAGTAATTAACTAGTAGAAGTTCATGCTCTATCAGAAGAAAAAATAATATGTAATACCCTTATACATACTACTTTCTTCTTCCCTGTACTTTTACTACTTGAAGTTCCTTGAACACTAAACTTTGCAGATAGTTCATCGATGCTGCCACCATCTACATCCGAAGACACTACTCCAACAGACCCACTTGAATCTGACCTACCACCTCCAGAAGATTCCATTTCAACATCTTCCGATGAAGATGAATGTTGAATTGGAGATGGTTGCGGTTGCTGTTGTTCCTTCTCGCTTGCTAATCTAGCAGCTACATACCTGATTACAAACATAACATTCCAAGAATTATCGAGTTTTATATGAATTGCACAGAAAACAAAAACAAATCAAACCTGATTGCTGCCACCCAATCTTCCCTCTCCTGTTCCGTATCTACATGAAAAGTCCTTTCTATTACAGCTGCCCATTGCAAACCTCTTATAACAAATGTATAAGGCTTAGGTCTATCCACAGACATAATCTGACATCCTCGAACTGTAAAATTATTTAAAGGCTGTGCAGCTGCTGCCATTTGTTGATCTGGCTTTGCTTTAAATCCAACCAGCGTACCATCGTCCCTCAAAACAAAATATCTTGATCTCCAATTTTTTATGTGCTCCCCTATACATAAATAACAAAGTATTTTATACCACTATGATAAGTACTTAATTTATTAAAGATATAACATAAATTTCTTTGAGCAATTTAATGTTTCATTCATTTTACAACTATTAGCATTTATTTTAACTTCCTTCTTAACTGTTTTAGGCATCAGAGATACAAATAAGTGACTTAAGAATAATTAGATACTAAGTAACGTATAAATTATGTACATAACTTTAAAAATAAGGTATCTATGTTGTTATAATAACTTTCATTTTTATTTTGAAATATTTGTATTGTTATGTCCACAAAGATATAGTCTAAACAATGAGAATTTATAGCGATAAACTTGATTACATGCGAATAATCCTACTTAAACCAAAAATAAATTTACATTACCAAACATTATGGTTTCTTGCATTATAATACCATTCCTTCCCTCAAATTACTTCTTTGCCAAGAAATATGTATTACTAAGAAATATTACGTATGCGTGTATGTACATATATTATATATATACAGATATATGTAAATACATACATATATTTATATTAAGTACATATCTGAAGTACAAGGTAAACATTTTTCATTTTATCCTTTCAATTAATAAAATAAAAATATTTCAATTGCAGAAATTTTGCTTTCAATTAGAAATATTATTTCATCTGAAATTCATAGCATCCAACATTTCGAGTAGTATATAAACTATTTTTCTCTAAATGTTACCCAGCTCTAGCAGAGACTTTCTAAAATTTTCACGGAAGACACGTCGGTCAATGTATTCTTGACATTTTGCTAAACAGAGAACCAGTCAAGGTTCCAAGGGGTACACAGAGAAACGGGGAAAACTCAGTTTCAAGTTCGTGTTGCGGATTCGCTCGGAACAAGGCGAAAGAGTAAACATAAATATTATGAAACTGTTCTATGGTGTACCGCGTTTTTGAAGCCAGCCTTCTTTAACGACACGCTGACCGCCGCCACCGGACGCTGCGACGTTCATCGCTGCGTCCCCCATAACTCCTTCCTCGATACGAACTCGTATGCAGGCTCTTGATACTTCTTATTTCCGTTCGAGCTGAATATTCTAGGAAAATCAGTAAAACACAACAGCGAGAATGGCACGAGTATACAAACTTGAGCAATCATAGATACACGTTTGGCAGGTAAACTCGAGTATACTCTGATCGACGGACGCACTAATGCGCACTAACTAGCATTGCCTGCTTGTATTCCGGAGATGGCGCGTCGATCAATCATGTGTGGCGATAACGTGTAGAGACGTCCAGATGTCCACGCCACGATGTCATAGGAGGAAGAAGGTTGCCAAAGGATAATTCTCGGTCTGGGCAAAAGGCTTCTTTATTCAAAATGCCCGCTAGATTACAACTATGTAGGCCGAAGCCGAGACAGGTACGTAAACCGCCACCCGCAAAACTCTCTAGGCTAGAAAGTACCTCACGCAGAAATCGCCAGGCGAGAAATGCCGCACGCAGGCGGCGACACAGCGCTCAACCTTTTTCTCCCTACCGTAACACGCCAGAGGAGGGGAAACGAAAGAGAGAGAAGGACAGTAGTAAGCGCTCCCTACACATGATTAAGGAAGAATTCTCATGGAACAATGTTCCTCTACTTTCGGCTGCCGTCGGTCAAGCGACATTGACATTTCCCTTAGCAGTGCTTTCTATACAATCCACTTTTTCGGACAAACATACGCGAAACTTTTCGTATATCATGGTTTATTGTTACATGTAAATACGTACTGATTAGAGGGAAAGCTCGGATTTAAAAGAAATAGATACGTTCATTAATTAGTGCAAACAGAAGCTGTTTACTGTTTATATTTAATACAAGTACACCTTAAATATTTTACCAAGAGATATAAGTTTGACCACAAACTTGGAATACGAACAGACGTCTGGTGTAATAGGATTTTCCGTCTATCGTCCGAGAAGTCTTTAGAACTTATACATACCAATTTAGCGTTGCGCTTGACGTTACCGATAGTCCTTGAATTAGGGCTGTTAATAGGAATAGAGTATATTGTATACACTTCGTTCATATTTATATGATGAAAATAACGTTTACGGTATATAATATTCTAAAAATGTAGTTTTTATTCATTCATGAGTATAAATACCTTTATGCATATATTTATTTTAGAAATATCTTACTATCTTCCTCTAGTGACTCAACTGTAATTTAAGGTCAACACTATATAATGCAAATATTTCACTATTCTCAATTAAAAGTGTCATTTTTATAAATGAAAACAGACAAATGTACCTTTAAACTTGAACAACGAAATGTCTAACTTAAGTTTACTATATCTGCTCCAATCCTACAACGTCAATGGCCGCTACTGTCATTAGTATATCAGCCGTCATTATTTTGACAGAAGTTGAGTTTTCCTCTAACCTATACTTTCGTGTTAAATTCTTCTGATCTATATCAACAGTTGAAATTCATGCTGTGTTTTAAAAGATTTTTAGAGAGAAATATAATTGCAACATTTTTAAGGCGGAGCTGTGGGCATGATCGTAGATCAATGATCGAGGCTAGAAGTATGTGCGATCGATACTTACTTGTTCACAAATAGGAAAAGTTTTGTATTCAATTGAAATCAAGAAGATGGGTCCTCCACCGGTGGTCACGGGAATATCTCCGAAGGAAGGACCTCCAGGGACCCGTGTTATCGTTCGCGGTGAATTCCTGGGAAACAAGATTCAAGACCTCATAGGTTGTACCCTTTGATAAAAGTATTAGAAAAGCACATTTTATTAAAAAGTGAACTTATATTCGTATAACATCCAATGTTCGTAGGTTTAACGATATGTGGGTGTGACTGTCTATTATCCGCGGAATGGAAATCTAGCAATAAGATTATTGCTAGGTCAGGACCTTGTAAAGGTCGTGGGGACATTATAGTTACCACTCGGAGTGGCGGACAGGGGACTTCAACAGTACAATTCCGTGGATACCATGAAACCATAGGCCCTATGAAAGAGTCAGCAGTGTGGGTAGAAGAAGCTCCTTTGCAAAGTTTTGTATGGGGAAGAAGAACACTTTCTCCGACCAATTATCAACAGGAAGATCCTCTAGGTCTAAGTGTAGAAGGCAATGAGTAAGTTCTTTGAATGATTATTAACTGACATCATTATTTTAATGTGTTCCTTTGCAGCAAAAAGTTTCCTGAAGATGAGTTAATGGAACTTTTTGGAGAAGGTAGTGGTGATTTGACCAATGAAAAATTTCATCCTGGTTGGTTTCTATTGCAACATCATCATGCTACCACTTTTGAAGATTTAAAAGCTGGATTAGCATATCTTAAACGGAAAGTGAATTCTCAGAAAGAGGGTCAATTATCATTCTTGAAGGTGATTTGATTGTAAAGAAAAATTTATATAGGTTCCTTGACTCTTAATTACTCTTTATAACTTTTTAGGCTAATGTAGGATCAGTAATGGAACAATTAGATACTATAATGTTGTTAAAAGACCAATTCGAAACAGATATAAAAACTTATGGTAGCGATCCTACTGAGAAATTAGAAAAAGCTATTCAACAGTCTATGTCTGAAGCTAATAAATTATTTGATGATGTGTTAGCTAGAAGAGATAGAGCAGATGCAACGAGAAATGCTTTAGCTGTAATGCAACGATATAAGTTCCTTTTTTGTATGCCAATTAATATAGAGAAGAATATAAAACGAGGAAATTACGATCTCGTAATTAATGATTATGCTAGAGTAAAGAATTTATTTAAAACCACAGAGGTGGAAGTCTTCAAACGAGTATTACAAGAGATCGATGATAGAATCGATATGCTCAAAATATTTCTACATAAGAAACTAGAAGAAATGCCTTTAAGTTTGGAAGAACATAAAAAGATCATAAGAAATCTTGTTAATCTGGATGCTGAAGGGGACCCAGCGTGGGACGCGATAGGTATCCATGCATATTGAATGCAATAACAATATTCTATTGAGGAAAATGCTAACAATTAATTTTTTCAGTTTCACACGCAAATTACCTGAAGAAAAATATTACAGCTTGCGTACAGGAACACTTAGAATCTGACAATTCAAGTGGAGATGATTTAAATAAAACAAAATCTGCACAAAACAATAAACAATTAAAATTTAATAAAGGCGATGGGACTAATATGCCCCCACAAATATTGTGTATTGAAGCAATTTGTGATATTATAGTCGAACAATTACCAGATCTTTGGAGATTGGGTCAAAGTTATTTTACTGGACAGTTACACGTTGCAGTGGATGTAGAAAAACAAACACCTTTCAAAGTAAATTAACGTAAATTTAATACATTTATAATAAAGTTAACATTACTAAAGGGTACAATATTCATCTGATTTAATGAATTGTTTTTATGCAGAATCTTGTGCTATCTAGCATGCAACACGCAATGGAAGCTATGAGAAATACATGTAGCAATGATTTAGATGCAGTTTGGCTTTTACACATCTTACGCAGAATTAGGCAAATGTATGCTTCATTGATTCATTTGGATTTGCCAAGCGACGCACTGGATATTTTTGGAAAACTTATATTAGATCTAAGGTATAAAATACCTGAGTCCTTTAAAACGATCTATTTCTATTTAATCACGCAATGAACTCAGTATTTCTTGTAACAGATTACAGTGCTTCGCTACCCTCTTTAAACAAACAGCAGAGAACATAGCAGCTTTAAATAAGAAAGAAACTTGGCAAATTGAATATTTAAACGAAGACGGCGGCGTTACAAGAGTGGTAATTATTACATTTTATATAATGGAATTCTGTAAACATTTCTCGACTAACTATGAATTTTTAAAAATTTGAACAGCCATATTTATTCGAGGAAATGGTGATGGAAGTTTCAAAGCGAGCACGGGATACAGTTGTTGCTTGCGGTCCGCGAGAAGGTGCACTGTTCGCTAATCCTGCCCATCAACAATTATATTATAACTCCATTAAAGCGTTGTTCACATCGTTTGCACGATGTCTGCAACAGTTAGCATTCAGTGGCTGTGAGGAGGCTTTAGACGACGATGAATCCTCTGTTTCTCAGTTAATTGGTTCTCCTTCCGGCTATAAAAGCAAGAGCAACAAGCATCAAGGCCCAGTAAGTCACTATGTTGAGAACATGGTATATTTGCGAGAGAGAGAGAGAGAGAGAGAGAGTAATGGAGTTTGTGGCAGACTATTACATGTTAACTCTGTCACAAAGAAATGCAATTTCTAATGTCCTTCGAAGTGAATGCTGTATTTTTGCATTACTTCTACATTTTTTATTAGACATGGGAGCAATGCCTTTTGATCTCATTAAGTAATATTCGATATACATTAAATACCATTCTACCAAAAATTGGAGACGCGTTGAAGGAATTGGATTACCCAAGCTTATCGAATGCAGTTGGCTGGAACTCTGATTGGACACAGTTGGAAACGTTGGATACTGCCGTTTTAGATGCTTATTTGGAACGTCGTTGTGACCCATTGGTCGGTACAATCGAGCCTAGTATGTATTTAGGTGGCCTGGAGTGGGATTTTGAAACTGAACCTACTCATGTAAAGCCATATGCACAGGAAATACTGGCGAATCTAATCGCAGTACATGCAGAAGTATTTATCATTTATAATTTTGTCCGAGAACAAATATGATTTCCGCTATTATTAATTACATTTCTTTGATAGGTACGTCGTGTCGCGCCAGCTTTATTGCAACGAGTTCTGTCTCACATTGTTGAAACTGTGGCAGAAGAGCTCGCAAGACTTATGTCATGTGTTACTCAATTTCGACCTGCGGGTGTTATTCAAGCACGAACCGACATTACACTTCTACGAAATGCCTTGCAGTCTTACAGTACAACTAGAGCAAAGTACGTATCTTTCATTTGAGATCACTAATAAATATGTGATTTCTTATGCGACTTTGATTGACAGAAACTTCTTCGAGGAGGCCTTGGACGCTATACCCCAACCAGTCAGCAAAGAAGACTGTATGCGAATCGACATGCTGTTGTCGAAAGTAACAACATCCATGCAGTTACAGTTATCGTGTCTGGCCAGTAATATAAATAATACATCGCAACTGGTAGCCGATCCCAATCGCATTACCACTGTATAGTTCTAATATAGTACTTTAAGGACCTAATTTATTATACTCGCCGTTATATTTTTATACCGTTCCAACGGGATTCTCTACATTAGTCTCCATTTTATGGCTTTCGTCTTGAATAAAATGAATGACATCTCGAAATGGTAAAATTGTAAAAACAAATATGCTCGATACGCAGGAAAAATAAAACTTGTTTATTACAAATATTAATTACAAGAATATTAATTATGTATCTTCATTTCTTCTTCTGAATCACATTTCTTTACCAATTGTAAAATTCCAGAGTCTGCGATTAATAATACTGTGTCACCTAAAGATTAATATTAATTTCAATGTATTGTTTAGTTTATGTAGATGCAAAAATTAAGTTGCACGCAAGAATCTAATTTAAATAATGTATGAACCTGTTCTGAAAAGTTGAGTAGCTTTCTTCGCGGCGATTATACAAGGCAGACCGTATTCTCTAGCTACAACAGCACCGTGACTTATAAGCCCACCTAATTCCGTAACTATGCCACTTAATAAAGCAAAATATGGGGACCAAGCAATATCAGTAGCATGTGTAATTAAAATGTCACCACTTTGGATCTTATGCGCATCTGATAAATCTGTAATCACGCATGCCCTGTTAAGCACGGAACCTCCACATACCGTTACCCCTTGAATTTTTATCGAACCATCTGCCGCCAAGAATCTATCGACATTTGTATCATCCTACAATATGGTATTATCATTTGTTAAGTTCTACACTGTTGACAAAATTCATTACTTTTCTACTGAAATAAATATGAAAGTCTACCTGAATTGGAATTGGCATGCCAGTGCCAAGTTCTGGATAGCGAAGCTGTTTCACGTGGTGATATATTTTTCTTCTACGGAAAGCTCTAACAAAATACGAAAATTTTTATCAATGTTGCACAAAACTATGGAATTTAACTAATTAATTTTTTCCTTAAATACCTTGCAACACTAGAAATATTTCGGTGACTTAATATTTCTCCTAATTCCTCATTTGTTAAAAAGAAAATAAGATCCTCGCTGGGTAGATATTCTTCCAAGACCATTAATTTTCCCAATCTCCTATATGCTAATTTGAATTTGTGTGTTATACTAGAGAGTAACGATTTCGTTAATTCTCTTTGCACGATAGCTCTTCTAGACAGAGGGATCAGCTTTTTTAAAATTAATTTTATAATCCTCGATTTTGGTGTTTTCAATAAGGCTACTGTTTCCTCTGGGTTTAATGCCTTTTTTGTAACGTTCGTATTTGGGGACGAGATCATTGTCTGGCGATGGTATTGTAATTTGTTGATTATTATATATAATAGATTTTTAAATAAAAGGTAAATAGATATGAGTATCCGATTATAGATATGAGGGTTAAACAGTCTGTTTTACCTGAAGAGTTACGATAAGGTTCTCTGGTTTAAGAGACCAAGATTCTGAAAAGAAGTCTAATTCCTGGACACACCTGTGTCCATGTTCTCGCAAAATATTTTCCACCTCTATTGCAGCTGGTGGACAGTTAACTTTCAACCATTGAATAGCCTTAGTGGGATCCAACTTCTTAAATTCTTCATCAATTTCACTCTTTCTAATGTACCTTATTACTTTTTTAATTCCTATTACTACTTGACCGCTAATAATATCATTACAGGATCCCAGTAAAATAGCAGTGTCTGAAAAATGATCAGGCACAAAATCCTTATAACTTTTCATTAACAGCAATATCGCAAACATTTTGTAAGCAGTACTGACTGCTGTTGTGTGTAGATGATGATCCAACAACTGAAAATTTTACGTATTTTAGTGTTCCCTTAAAATATTCAGCAATAATCAATCACTTACTTCAGCGTATACTGGATATTTATTATTAATTTCATTATATAAGCTGTAGGTAGTATGAAAATTTTCAGCATTTAGAATAAAATTCTGATGCACTTGTTTGGCAGTCTTTTCTACAATATTGACGGTGAACATATCTGAAATCATTCTATAGAGCTGAAACAACTGTCTGCATGCAGTAGCTGGACCAAATTTTTCAAGAGCAACTTTATGAATTTCAGGCGTGACCACTACATTCCCACTGAAAGAAATATCAGCAATTTTATTCAGAGTTGATATATATTTCCCAACATCTCTGTGAAACGCCTAGAACGAAACGTAATTACCAGTTTTGTCTTGTGCAAGAATAATTAATTGCTCGCTAATAAATAACTTACATTCAAGTAATTCATAGTGCATCTCATCGTTGTTATGTTTAAAGAGGAACGATTAGAAATATGATGTCTAATATTCAATAAGTTGTTAATTGTCTTTACAAATAAAGAGATTGATAAAGGTGATAGTGGATACGGCATTACCTCGCCTACATTGGCAAACGTGAACATATCAATATCGTTTAGCACTTCTGTATCTAATTCGTGCATTATCTCAAACTCTGTCCATGTATACAAAGTAGTAATTGGTCGAGCTTGAAGCAAATAAATCTGCTGGTTTATTATTGCCCATTCTATATCTCGAGCACTACCAAATAGAGTTTCTAAATCTACTCCAATAGCGGCTAATCGCAAAGTCATATCCTCAGATATACAGATTTCCTTCTTTTCCTGCTCATTCAAGTCGACTGTAACCACACCATTGTTGCTTACTAGCAGTTTTTGTTGTTTACTGCCTGACACAGAATTTTTTACAGTTAATTTATTATCCCAACTTTTATGAACTACTATCGTGTCTGGTTCAACTGTAGCTGACACCACGGTCTAAGCAAAAAAAGAGTTCAGTATGAATTAACACAGTACTTTAACTTTCCATGTTAAGCAATTGTATTTTATTATACCTCTCCTAAACCATAATTCGCTGTGATAACAATGTTTGACGGGTTTCCAGTAGTCGGATGTCTGGTAAACATTACACCAGCAGCATCAGCATTTACCATTTTCTGAACACAAACTCCCATGGTTGCTTTTACAAACATACCATGCTGTTTTCTAGTTTACGGACATTCTAAGTTAGAATCTTAGTTTTACCGATTAAGTTATATAACCGATTAAATCTTACCTATACATGACACTTTGGTATGAGTACAAACTTGCCCAACACATAGCTACGCTCTGAATTATGTTGTCTATGCCTTGAATACCCAAATATGTTGAATTCTGACCAGCAGCTGAAGTTTCTTCACTGTCTTCGCCAACAGCGCTAGATCTTATTGCATATCTATTCGGTGTATCACTTCTATTTTCTGCCTCTAATTCATTTATTGCCCTCAGAATGGACTCCCTAATTCCATCGACAATCGGAGTCGACTGAATGATCTGGACCGCCCTATTGCAATACTCTTGCAAGTCACCATCCTTTTTACCAACGCTAACATGTTCGATATCTTCGATAACTTTTTGTAATTTTTTATGTGTATGTAATTGCAATTCCAACGCAAAAACAGTAATGCAAAATCCGTTTGGTATGACGAACTGCAAATTATTATGTAATTCATGATTTCAGGAAACAAAGACGAGTAACAATGCACCACTTACGTTTTTGTTTTTAATAGAAATTAAAATTGCAAGTGAAAATGCTTTTCCTCCGACGATATTTTCATTTTGACATTTTTTATCGTCGAAGCGTATTATGTAATCATTCCTTTCCACAGGTGCATAAAATTGTTGAATATATTGTAATTTTTGAAACGCATTTATCGGACATGGTCCGCTATATGAAGAACATACTTGTAGCAGCCCAACACCTATTAAAAAATGTTACATTATAAACGTTAATTAATGTATAAACATTATACTCTGCTGTTTTCTACAACAATACCTGGTTGTCCATTGAATTTCAATTTCACTGGAATAATCTCATTTTTCCAATTCCATGGTTGACCATAATACATAGTTACAGAGTCACCAAGTTTTATAAGAATATCATAATCTTCACCATCAGCTGAAATTAAATGTTTAATGGTCACGTACATAATGTTAAAACTGAATTAAAATATAAATTGTGATCAACCTGTAAACCATGTTCTGTACTCTGAATCGTTTGTCAATTCCTTTCCTATGAAATCAGATAATGTGAATCCCATACTATCTATATTTCGAATATCTTCTTTATTGTCTCTAAACTGTCCAGACTGTATTCTAGAATTAAGAAAATATTTTTTTTAAATTATGCGATGAAATAAATGATAGATGATTTTACTTACCTCGGAAAATTTTGCTTTGTACTGCTCGCATTAAGATAACACAAGGATCCATACAACATCACACCGAACAACGTAACAGATTCTTTAAATTCATAAGATTCATGTTTTCCCCAACGATGTTGGTGCAGTCCGCGCAAATATAACGTAGAAGTAAGGCCATCGTTATACCTTACTTGGCCCAGCAAAGATCCAAAGTAATCGGTACCTGTGTAATCCAGTTGTTTTCTAAAAATATAATAAGATTTTTAACACTTATGTAAATGAGAGAAAAATTGAGAGACAAATATAGATACATACATCTTGTTCATCCACTGAGGATTTCTCCATTGCTCACGAGCTAGAACGTCTGAATGCAGTTTAGGACTCCAATCCTCTGGCCACTTCAAGGGTATAGAGTTTGCAATAAATCTAAATAAAGAATTAAATATTTAATTTTCATTTCAGTCAAGTAATCATTCTGTTCAAAATTACTTTACTTACATGAAGTTCAACCGAACGTGTTCAATATTTTCGTCGCTACATTTATCACCCTGACTCAAATTCCTAAGCATGCCATTATAAATTATTCTCCAACGTTGTTCAGCTTGCAATAATTCAATTTTAAGATTCGCTGTTGCCCATTCCTGGTTGAAACTACTCAATAGTGTGGTATCAGGATAGTCTATAAAAGATTTTTATAATTATTTATTTGCTTTATATTAATAATAAAACAAATTCCTGTTAAATATGTGTCACTATACCAGGCAACACGTATAATCGGCCATCGAATGTTAGATACAACGACACTTCCACATTTTTAAATCCCCTATGCGAAAATTTAATTAACAATGAATTCCCTTTTTGGTCAGCACCATAAAAAAGCATAGCATTACTACTCTAAATAAAAATCGAAATTGTAAGATAAATAATAAATCACAATCGATATATTAATTAAATTATTTACACTCACATCTTTGTCTTTTATTTTTGAATTTTCTAGTTGGTTGCTTTTACAATTAGTCGAAATCGCTGCCCTTTTTCTTCTCATTTTAAGGCAGTACTCCGCTATCCAGCGTTTTAGTAAATAATTGATATCTAAAAATACATATTTTTGCTTCAATTATACATTACTTATGTTTATTCTACGCATATAATAATGTACTTACTGGGAAGTTTATACATTGACTTTGAGCGTAATGACGACTTTTTTCTTACAGTTTTAGTAAACCAGAACAACCACAGTGGAATAATAATAGAAAATATAACTTTAATAATAAACCAAACACTGACCATGTTGATCTTATGTTTAACAAACCTAACAGCTTAGTAAATTCCAATAACAGCAATAACTACTGTATGTTTTGCTTAGTCACAACACTATGTACATATGTATATATATCAACAACAAATTAAGCAAATTCTATTCATAGTATGTCCAGATATACACATTCTTTACGGAAAACAGCAATTATATATGATAAAAAAAGGTTATCGACTTTTGAATGCAATTACTATTTAAATGATAACCGTGAGGATGTCCAAGGGCATACTATCATTGTTGTAGTATATAGTATCGCTGCACTGAGCTATGTCTATACGAACATTGTTCTCGTTAAACATTACGTAACGGACTAATACTCGACTTAAACTCTCGTTTAAATGATCATTCGAAAAACTTATCTCGCAACATCAATTTTGGTATGTTTCACTTTGTATAACTCGAATGATAGTCGTTTTCTACCATATCTCATGTAGCTGGGTAATTCGCATTATCTCAAGATACGGATCACTATTACGTTATCTAGCTAAATAAAAATCTGGTAGACATCGTAATATGATAAATTTTAATCATTGTCTACAAACATAAATTTAAATAAATAGTTATAATATATTCAAGTCTCGTTGTGATGTCAATGTTCATTGAATTAATATAAATAATTCCATAACGTCGTTGTCAAAAATCACTTTCTTACACTGAATGAAATAAGTTTCATTAACGTATACGTTCCATGTTGGATTTACTCGTTTGTAACTCGTTAGAGTCTCACTATATCACAAACAGTGGAAAATGTTTATCCCTATATAACACCTTTATCTTTAACCTGTTTTTAATTTTTCTTTTTATCTAATCTCCCGAAGTCCGCAGATTCTTCGCCAATTGTTCCGTCGCCTGGACGAGATTTATCAACGGGATACAACCTGCAAAGAATTATATTTATATAAGCATTACCATATATGGTAACTAATTAAGTACTGACTCACCATCTTTGATACAGGTAAATAAGAAAGACTGCATCGTCACGGAAACAAGCTATTCTATGAGCTGTAGGTGTAACGATTATGAATGCAAACACGTCGTCGATGAATGTATTAAATGCTTTATACATAAAAGTCCTCCATGGAAGGTGCGACACAGATTTCAACTTATAATTCACGAACAGTTGAGGAAGCATTAGTAGAAATCCGAACGCATAAACGCCGTTCGCCAACGAATTTATACTCCACGAGTACCAACTGAAATTCACAATACCATTCATTTAGTATTTGTATGCACTTCAAAAAAATTCTAATGAGATTAGATACCTTCTGTGTGGCTGATAAAGCAAAGAATAAATTGCACCACCAATAACAAGAGGATATAACAAGTAACTTAAGTATCGCGTACTTTCCGCATCAAATTCTCTTGTTTTCGCTTCAGCTACGTTATCACTGCTCGCGTTACGTCTAAGTTTAAATACTTTCCGTAATTTCCATATCTGTTAAGAAGTATGAAAATATAAATAACAAACATATACTAGTACTTACATATATCATTTGATATATTACCTCAATAATAGATCCTATTCCAACAGGTACAAGAACAAGCAATGAGGAACCTTCATCTAGTAAATAGAGGAATATGACAGTCTGACAAAATCCTGTTCTCACCACAGTCCATTTACTTAGGCCAACAAGATTATCCTTTTTCCTCCAATAACTGACGTCATTTTTAAAAGCAAGAAAATCAAACAGCAACTACAACAACAAGGAATATTACAATACTTAATTAACTGTTTGAAGTATACTTTACTGGTTTCTCCAAACACGTACATGAATTGCTGTAATGAAGAAAGTTCCTCCCAAAATATATATGTTAGTATCTACAAAAATTCCTTTTACTTTATCTACATCTTTGTCAGAAAACCCGAGATTCTTTAAGTTCTCCATAGTGGGTTCAATTTGTAACAACAGTCTTAATTTCCCAAGAGATATTGGAGAATATTGCAATGTAATATTAACCGTATCATTCTTAGGTGTAATTCTCACTAAATCGCTATATCTGCTTTGTACAAAGTCGTTTTTAACAATAGGTAAAAACTTCCTGCCCTGTATAAGTCTGAAAAAGTGGAAGATTGTCAAAAATTTGCTCTAAAAGAGGTGGTAAATAAAGCAATATAATTATTTTAATCCCATACTTTAAATGATGCACAAGTTCCAAGGGTATAGCATGTGCAGAAAGCTGCACATTATCAGTCATTATCCTGAACGATGTTATACTCTTTATATGTGTTACAGGATGCATAAAACTATCTATTTTTCTCTGCTCATTTATAACTTTGTCTCCTAATAAATTAAATGCCTCTGCTTCAGGTATTATGTATTCTGTCATCTGAATAGCAGTATAGGATGTATATGGATCCTAAAACAAATTTATATGAGATACTTGTGTAAACATAAATTTATATATCCAATATCATTTACCTTTTGCATATCGATAATACTTTTGCTATATCTTTTAGAACTGGGTGCAACAACAATATGAAGAAACAATGTGCCATTGTTTCTTGTTCTTCTTGGTACATTTAATGTCACTGGACTAGAACAAATAGAGTCACGTTTGAAAATTCTAATTATTAATATTAATAGAACGCTTATAATTTGTTACATATACTCACAAAGAAGTTGGATGTGTATAATTAAAATCGTCAGTGCTGTAAACGAAATTAAGTTGCTTATCATTTGGATATATGTTCACGGAACTGTAAATTTGCAACTGCAGACATGGTTTCTCGTTCAAATACGATGTCAAACACGGACGTCCTTCTTCACAGGATGATGCCACGAATAACAGCGACAACTTGTAAATTGAATATATGATATAAGCTAAAAATATTTCCGTTAAAATAAGGTTAAATGACGGCCACTGCATTTTCTATGTTTTCTCTTATAATGTTTATAACATGATCCGTTAGTATTCAAATGATACCCTTGATTACAAGTACAATTTCGTTCAATGGGTACCTTATGCCGACAGGTTCATTGACATTTTATGTAGCGTGTTCTGTATTCATGATTTTAGCGACTCCCACGGAACGCGTCTGAACTACTGTACAAATCAAGTAGGAAAGTAAGAGTACTATAAGTACTTCTACAACAATAAAATGCCCTTTGCAATGAGATTAAATTATTTATATGCTGATAGTACCGGTAGACCAAATTGTCCGTTACACACTTTGTTGAAGCAACAGACTTTGTGATTTGCGTTGGTAAAGTAGCATTACGTTTAATTGTCCTTGCATAGATTTCAAGTCTATGATACGGATCTTAAATCTGTGTGAACATTGTCTTATTTATATTTTATCATCCTAGGCGTCTCTATTATTTCCTAATCTATGGCGACAAACCGTCGAAGTGACGTTTCTACGGACACGTCGTTACACGCGCCACCAAACTGCCCATCGCTGCGCATGCTTATTGAGTCAGTAGTAAGGTTTTCGTTTCACGGGATCCACCTGTGACAATTTGTTGTTTGAGAAGAATTCGAAATATTTGAGAAAACGGCGCGGAAAATGTCAGGAAAATCAAAGGCATTTACCAAAGAAGAAGAACTGCTTCTTCAAGACTTCTCGAGAAATGTATCGACAAAATCATCAGCTCTTTTCTATGGCAATGCTTTCACCGTTTCAGCTATTCCCATCTGTAAGTACATGGAATTTAATAAATATGATATTTATCTTAGCTACAATATTTTTAGTAGAATCTTTAACAAATTTTAGTATACCTTTATATCATGACTTTATAAATAAACAAATCATAACGAATAAAATTCGATGTCTACAAGGATAACCTCTTTTGTTTCAGGGCTCTTCTGGAGGATCCATCTAATTGATATTTATGCCAACTTAATCTCCTTTGTTTTAGTTACGTTAGCCAGTACATATGCACTCGCTCTTGCATATAAAAATACCAAATTTATTCTTAAACATAAGGTACTTGTATTAATTCTAATATGGTATAAAAGTCTTTATTACTAATCCTGGTTTTGCAAACAGGATAAGAAGTTTCTGATATTCATGATTTTTTAATGTGTTAATGCGTTCAGTTTTAAATGGAAATAGATGAAATATAATTATTACTTTAGATTGCAGTTAAAAGACAAGATGCGGTGACTAAGGAGATGAGCAGAAAATTGGCTGAAGATAAAAAAATGAGCAAAAAGGAAAAAGATGAAAGGTAATTTAAAAAATCTTATATGTTAGTACTATTAGATATGATAGAATACTAAACGCTGAAAGAATCTAAATTGTCTGATACTTTAAATAAATCATAATGATTGAGGTTTAATTTAATTATGTTTTTCTAGAATTCTGTGGAAGAAGAATGAAGTTGCAGATTATGAAGCCACTACCTTCTCCATCTTCTACAATAATGCTTTATTCCTGGCACTTGTAATTGTATCTTCGTTTTACATTTTGAAAACATTTACTCCAGCTGTTAACTACATATTCTCTGTCGGCGCGACGAGCGCATTGCTAGCGCTACTATCAACCGGTAGTCAATAATATGTACAATGTGGGAATATGTGACTGTAATCATACTATGCCAGGTGGTTCTGTGAGAATCTGGAATGCATCTTTTGATATGAGTGAATGCCTACATGTAATAAAATTTTTTCTATTTATAATATATTAATTATTTAGTCCACCCTAGAAAACGTTGAAGATTAAATAGAAAACTAGACGGAGATTTATGTTAAGTTACGATTGTGTGTATTTTATGTTTAAATGCACAATGAATGATTAATTGTATTAGACTTACCATTTCTCTCACCATGCCCATGGAGCTCCATCTGAAAATTAACAAATGGCGATTATTAACAAATATATTTGCAATGAAAAAATTTGTTTCTGGCAATCCACATTATTACATTGTTGATGCGTACTACGTTACGTTTTGGCGAACAGCGGCAGACTTTAATGCGAATCAATTAGACCCGATTCCATTGCGGATAACGAGTTATAGCGGATCACAGATTGTAATCCATTATAAACAGTCTAACGCGGGTCATTCTAATGCTTTATTTGTTTGTTTGAATTGGAAACTTGCCAGCATATAGCCCGCCGAAGGAAAATCCCTCGCCAAATCGTATATTCTATTCCTGTGCAGTAGTGAAAATACAAACATTTACTTATACGATGTTGAGACGTTATAGTCTGTTTCGTAAATGTTTGTAAAGTGTCAGTACAACTAGTAAACCTCTATATAGTCATAAACATTGAGGGTGCACTTATCATATAAGGAAATTCAGTAAGAGGTAAAAATAATTATCATCGCATTTGTACTGCAATTATGTTCAGTGTTAATTCTTTCTAAATATTTCTTAATATTTATTCCTGTATTTTAGATGCGTTTAATGTTAATGTATGTTAAATTTTATGATTAACTGCAATGAATGGGAGAGGACAGTTGCATTAAGGAAGACCATGTCATGAGTTTTTATATTATAAGGAATTTGCATTGGCACAATCGTAAAGTGTGCATTTGGCAGAGATGTATCAGCTTCCTGGTTTGATTTATCTCGCCGCGTGATATTAACGTAATCTTGACAAATTTCTTCGATTATTACGCAGGAAGTATCCAAAATTGGAGACCACTGAAATTTTTGAACCGCCACGGAATTAAAATGCCTGCTGGATTTTTGTATAACCGACAAATAATAGTTTACAACGATTGACGTACAGTATGGCACTTAGACACGTGCATTTTGGAACTTCTCCAAAAAGTTTTAATCCGCATTCTCCAGACACACCAGCTCTGGTAATTCTTGCATTACCGACTCACTTTATTACTTAGGAATGTTCCATCCTATAATTATATATTCCTGACCTGCTTTTAAGTAATGTTCGAAGATATGGTAAATAGGATGTACTCCATTATTGTGAATTACAGTTCAATAAGAAGCTAAAATTTATTAGTGTAGGTAGTAGTTATAGTAAAAAGTAATAGAATTATAATATTGTTTGTAGAGTTCTTAAATTTAATAGGAAAAATAAAAAATAAAAAGAAGATCGATAAACTGATGTTTACATATTATTTTTCTAAACAACTGTCCAAACCGGAAAAGATACTATTGGCAACTATCCACCCAACCACCCACATTTCTTTGTCAGTCTACATCATCTATGAGTAATTTGTCTATGTTGATGAAATCTCTGATGGGAACATGGGAAAGGATGGACTGTGGAACTCTTTAACACAGAGCTAAGTCCTTCATTATTCTCTTTATTTGTTTTGACTGCTGGTGAAAGAAACGTCACACAGCAGTGTTGAAATTGGGTTGAGTAATATCATACAGTTTCACAGGCTGTCCAACCCTTGTCATCAACTGGAGATTTTAGAAGTGATTTTATAAACTGTTGAATATAACTGAACATCTTATACCCGGCAAATGGGACAGAAGTCTGAATTTGAACGGACTTACCGAAGATTTATCTAAGCAATCAACTAAACATTGAAAATAATAGAGATGTTTTAAATATAAACTGAAGTCTTAGATAGAATAAACATTGTCCCTTAGAGAAATGAGTTTTTAAAAATTTACAGTTAATGCTTCAATTACCAAAGAGAAGACCTATTTTACACTTTTCCTACTGAATCCGATATAGACCTACTTATTCTGTTCTAGATTTGCTGCACGCCTATGTTACTGGCACCGACTAGTCAGCACATAGGCATAAATTGCTTCTTTTGTTTGTCACCGCCAAGGATCTCGGCCCAGCTTCGAGCAATCAGTTCTTACACCGATTCTTATTAGTGTATGCAGGATTTACTGTCGCTTACGCGTATTGTACAATTTTCATTCTCTATTTTCGTAACCGTTACAGTGAATATCATTCTCAAAGGAACGCACGCGATAGACGCTAATTCAATGAACGATTCAACGAATTTTCGAGTCAACAAAACACTTTAGCGAACTTTTAAAATTAAGAGGAAATATTTCCGCCGAGAAGTATTTGCTTTTTACACGATCCCGTTCACAACTTTTCCTTTTATTCATATTTGAATTTAAGAATTTCGAAAAAAATTCTTATTCTCTTGCTTTTATAATTTTTGCAATATTCTGTCTCTTTCCTAGCGTTCTCCAGTTACCAAAAGCAGCCTGTGAATGAAGGAGGGACTCTGTAACTTTAAAGAGTTGCACTGTCTTCTCCAAACGCCCGTTGCCCACTGGTTTAACAAAAATATCTCCAGCTTCTCTTCTTTACAGCCTGTACACAACTTGGTAATGGAGATTTCTTGGAAGCCATTAAAATTCTTACTTTGGATCCCACCAAGGAGATGTATTGTGAGAATGCAGCAAGCTTAATACCATTGGTGTAACTAATATTTTTTAATTCTACGATAAATGTATTAAGTTAATTGCATTAAAAGCGTTAATAAAAATAAGAAATGACGTAGAAAAAGTGGACGTTAAATACGTCCATCGTTCGAACGAGCTTTGAAGAAACAGTTAATTAGAGATTGCTTTATAGTTCACCTAGATGCTGTTCATCAAGTCTATCTAAAAATATGTAGAAAATCCTTCTGTCTCCATCCCCAGTCTTAACTCTTTCACGTACAATTGCGTCCGTGGGGCATTGCACATAGCTTCAAAAGGTCCATTTCTCATGGTGTTTCATCTTCCACGAGTCCGTCCCGAAGCAGTATCCGAATACGCTGTGCCTCCTACCTTACATACCATGCATTACAAAACAAAAAGAAAAAAAACTATTAATATCAGTTCAAAGGAACAAATAAATTTCAAGGAAAAAGATCTACAATTTACTGTTATTCTCCCCCCAGTGTAGTTTATTGCCGCAATTTCCGTATCTAAAATTCACGTCTGCCCTCTCGTCCCATCCTTTTCTTCTTTCACTCCGGTCGCGTCCAACTTTTGTAAATGCAATAAAGGCGACTTATTATTATCATCGCAACGGACGGTGGCGTTCTAACCGATGAACAATGGCCACCGTGCCAGAAGAATGTGTTTCTAGTGAAAGACAGAACACAAGGAAATGGTCTGGAGGCGAAGCTGAAGAGACGGCCCTGATTTCGAGCCTCGCGGCACGGTCTGCATCCCAGAAATAGCGCAAGCGCCTTTCCAAAAGTTTTAAGGCCCGCTACGAGTAGCGAGCCGAGGCGAATAGAAGAGAAGAGAAGCGAAGAAAAGAGAAGAGAGGAGAATGAGAAAAGGGAAGACGGGAGGAGAAGAGATGAGACGTGCAGAGCAGAGAAGAGAAGAGAGGAGAGTTAAAGATTGGTAAAGCTGGAGGTAGCGGGGTGCGGTCCGGGTCTGCCACGCAACCGCTATATCCTCCAATTCGAATATTACCGCGACGGTGGCCGTTCCTCGTGACAGTGCTCGACAGTCAGCAACACCTCCACCATATACAAACCACCGCACGCTTTTTGTTTCCGAGTAATATACGTGACCGACGCGCGAATCTCGCCGCTCGCCGCCGCCCCCCATTTTAGATACACAAAGTAGTATACCAAGTGTTTTAAAGTAAACCGTTTTAAGTAAGACAAAAAAAAGACCGCGCCACCATGGTATGTTCTATTGATGATATCGTAAGTCGTCGCCCTGGTAAACATACACGTTTTCCTAATGTTTATTTATTTATCGTATTTTTTTTTCTCACTTGAACATTACAATGTCTCTTCATTAATGATACGCGCCTCGCCTCTCGCTCTCTTTCTCGTTCCTCTGTCTATCACTCTGGCTGTCGTTTGTTCTTTCTCCTAGTGTACAGAACAGGCTCGGTGAACCGATTGCTTCTAGCGTCAAGCCGGAACAGTGAACAATTCGAACGTTCCACGATGATCGGGAAACAGGGTACATTATCATTCCTTCGAATTGTCGAGTCTGTTTCTTTTTTTATCTTTCCTCTATTCAATTTCGAAACTCGTGTGCTTTTTCCTTTTATTTTTCTATTGGTACTCCGTCGGTGATACTTAATCGAAGAAATCGTTAGCCTGACGTTGGAAGCGATCGCTTACCCCTCAGCCTGTCACGGAATGCTTGCAT